ACTCCTTGGCGAAGCAAACTCTCTCTACCTGATCAATATTCCTCTATATCGACAAATTTAAGAAATCATATAAATCCAAGCCCCTGTGTCTCCGCCACCTATTTTTATTATCTTCCTACTGCCCATCCCATCCCATCCTCCTCCCTCCACCAGCCTCTATCCTCCCTTCTTCCTCCTTTACATCGTCCTCACCTCTGCATCACACACATGGAAATCACTGGTCAATTATTCCGCCGCGGCACAGGTATCAAAGAACTCATAGAGACCGGAACGGAAGTGCCAATTTCAAGAATATAATACTTGCAGGAGGAAACACAAAATAAAAAATGAGAGAAGAGAGACTGGAAAAAAAAGACCAGATAAATTAAACCAGAATCGATGCCAATACCATCTTTCTTTTTTCTTTAATACCTCAAACCACACAAATGTCACGTTAGCAACCCTGGCAATAATTACACCAGAACCACAATCCTCCAGTAGGTGAGAAAAAAATCCAACCAATGAGGACTAAATAAATAAGGAAGCAAGATGAAAAGAAGACAGAGGGTACAGGGAAAGAGCCAAAGGTAAAGAAAAACGCACTGACTGTCCACGCGAAAGAGCGTGGTCATGCCAGGCAGGGCACACAGAACCAACAATAATGTGCAACCAAAGCGCCGAAGAGCAGACGCTAAAAAGACAACAAGTCACTGATGAATCCACTACTCATAGGATGTTGAGCCACACAGCCACAGAGAGACAGAGTGATATAACGCAAAGATGCCCAAGTACCCATTAGAACAATAAAATAAAGACAAACAGAAACTAGTGTCGCTCATACTATTAAATTAAGTGATAAATTCCATTATATGACAGCTATGAAAAATCCCCATCATAAACGACAAAACTTACTACACAATAACAGCACGCACTCACAACAAATATATGGTAATGGAACATTCGTGAAGATCCTCAAAATAACTTGAGAAGCCTCAGAATACGCACAACTGATACCGACCAAAATTGAAATACGTATAAGACGGCTTGGATGATGGACCACAGAAACTCAAATATACTACCACATATCCACCTAAACGCAGACACAGTAAGCACATGGTTATTATATTATTATTATTATTATTATTATTATTATTATTATTATTAATATAGATGTGCACACGTAAGCAAACCATCAGTGCAATTTTATTTGGTGTGTAGTGTGTGTTGTGTGTGGTGTTTGTTTTTTTTGGTGTGTATTAAGGTCTAACAACTTGTTTTTTGAGTGTTTTTATTGTGTCTTTGTGTTGGGGTGTGTCCCCCATTTGCTGTGGGAACTCACAATGCAGTCGAAGCAGTTGAAGTGAAGAGTTGAGTAGGCCTGCCTTGCCAAAAGGCCATACATGCTTTACAAACATCTCCGTCAAGAATATCCCCCAGAAAGATGAAATTCAGCAAAATCTACATGATGGAAGAGGAACAAGAGGAGAGGAGGAGGAGAAGCTCAAACAACAGAGTGGAGCCATAAACCCCTTTATCCTTCAACTTGTATTTTAAATTACCCACCCATCATTGACCATCTACCCACCTATCCATCCATCCATGCATGTAAAGGAAGGGCATTGTTTTTTATTGATTATATATTTAATGAATTTGAAATAAGAGATGCTTTTTAAATCTTGTAATTTGTATCTAATACATACAAACGATCCTGTAGGAAAGGAAGATACTGTTTGTTATGGATGTCTTGTGTTAACCTAGTTTGGGTTCAGCTCTTTCCAGGTATTTAGTCACATTTACTTGGAATTTGCTTACCACTCCCACTTCCAGTAATCGCGATGAGAAACATTTGTGCCATTTGTGGAGATAATCTGTGCATGCTTTGCACTGAGTATGCATGTATCTCTCTCCCTCGTACTCACTCCAGAAAATCTGAAAAGTGGTTCTGGCCTGGTCGTAGTGCACTACTGCCAACACAACATTGTTTGTTGAGGCCACCAAACACAGTGACGGTCCAGTAAAAGGCCTGGGACTTAACAACCGTGTCGGATTAAGAAGCGTAGCCCGTCGCTCACGCCGCTTGAAAGTCGATCCTTCGAGCTGGAGCTCTTCCAAGCTGGCACGACAAATGGTGACCCTGGAGGATTAAGCAAGGCAAACATTGTACATTATTTAGGATACAGTGAAGATGACAGTGGTTTGTTGGTATCGGTATGGTTCCGTACAGTTTAATGGAAATGTAAAAATGTGTCACTAATACTTCATATGTAGTGATATTTCCACTATGTTTGTATGTCTGTCAACCCATGCAAGAATATTTAGTACTGACTTTTTGCTTGTTGAAGATACTTCATCAGATTAAACAAGTGCTTTTCTGTATCTGCATTTATTTTGAAGTGAATATTGCAGTAGTAATATTCAGTGTTGTAAGCATATGATCTTTTGCTCTTTCCTTAACAAATTGTCTGTCCCATTTACATGAATGTACACGACATAATATCACTGCATAGAATATAACACATTCCCTTTTGTCTTATGAGAAACAGGGAGAACTGTCCTGCATGAGAAGGCTGGAGCACAGAGGGGTTGGATGAAGGAGCAGAGAAGAGGGAGGAGGCAACAAGGGCAGGTTAGAGAAAAGAAAGATAGAATATGAGGGGGGTTGGGGACAGGAAAAAAAGTAACATGAGAGAGGTGCAGAGCAGCGGAGGACAGGAGAGGGAAGGAGAGGGAAGGAGAGGAGGGTCCAGGTATTGCTGATTATGCAAAGATAAGGATAGCATCTGTATGTTCCTGTGGTTTGCTTTGAGTGTGGTCTGTGTGTGTGTGTGTGTATGGAAGAGAGAGAGAAAGAGAGACAGAGAGACAGAGAGAGTGATAGAGTGAGAGTCTCTTACCAACTGCCAGATCTCCCTCCCCTTCCTCTGGGTTTAGAAGCTCAGCTTTGCTCTTATGGTTCTTTGTGGCTCTCCTACGGGAGCCTGTAATAGAAAAAAAAGTGTTTAATCTTTAACACAACTGATTATTGAAATGCTTGAATGTGTTGAATTTATTTGTATAATTTTTGAAAAATCTAATTCATCCGTGGGCAAACACACACAATAAAGACAACAGCAAATTCATACCATCATAATCATTTTCATTTTCATTGTCCGCCAAGATGACCTCTTCTACAAAACACACACAAACAAAAATGGTAATACGGTATACAGCCACATTACATTTATCTTTGATGACTTCCACATCATCTATCAATCTTTTATTATCATCAATTGTAATTTCTCATTTTAATTAAAAACTGGAAACAAAGTCTTTGGCCTGCACCTGTGTTTGTTACTCATCCCTCCCACCTTTGTTTGTATGCTTCCTTGTTTTTATGTAGATTGTCTTTTCAAGAAGATCAAAGGTCTGTCCTTTCTATCTGCCCCTTTGTCAGCTCCTTCCAACATCTAACATTCAACCCTCCGTTCCTCTTATCTTCTCTTCGTCTTTCCTGCCCTCGGCAGATGGGCCAGAGTGAAAAGACGAGAGAGAAAGAGAACTACGGGCGAACAGTTTGTCTTCTTTATCCAAGCATCAAAAAAGTGTCTTTAAACCTTGCCACACTGATGTAAATCAAGACTGGTCACGTATATTTACCTGTACAAGTGCACTGGCTATAATATGCTGTGGAGAGCTATACCTACGTCCCCAGGGGGTAAATTAGGTTCCAGTAAACAGTCACCTGCATTCAGCAGCAACATTATGGAGCATGTCTGGTAGTTTAAGCTCCATAACTGAACTGTTTGGTTAGGGTTATTATAAAAGGGTCAGTGTGTTTCAAACTACATTACTGTACTACACTACAAATTGTATTCTTGTAAATAAAAATGCAATTTAACATTCCTGTTTCCTGACTAACAAAAACTGTACAAATGTTACAAATGCTTCAAAACAACTTCAGTTATTGTGTAACTGTTTAAGCTAATATTAACTGTAGTTAACTGGAGCAATATATTTCCTGCAGCTGCTTTATAGTAAAGCTTTAAAGCTATATAGATATATATACTTACTTTACCTTACACTTTATAACTGTACAGCTTTAATAACACACTAACATTGCATACACCTGTCTACAACATTTTATTTTAATGTAAAATGTAAAACTATTATGACAATGTTTGATAATTAAATGCTATAAAACATCTGTATCTACAACATACTTGGGGGGAGAATATGATACAATCCATTTTTTTGTGCTATTTGTATGGCTGTGTGTAAACAATGAACACATCCAGTATATTGTACATACCAGCTTTGCAGATCCACTCCAAATAACCATTGAGTTCTCTCTCAATCTGCTGCTGCCTTCTGAGCTTCAGGAACTCACTCCTGTTCTCCACACGCTCTCTTTCTTTGGCAAACTCCCTGCCGTGACACACACACAAACACACATGCATTTTTACACATAAATACAATAAACCACTATTTTTTTTAATCAATTTCAAAAGCTATCAAACTATTAATGTACATGGGATGAAAAACTATTAATAAACACTATCTTTGTCACAAGCACTCTCACACAAACAGGCACACACACTTACCCTGACAACACACCCAGCACCAGGTTGAGCATGAAGAAGGAGCCGATGATGATGAGGGGGATGAAGTACATCCAGTTCCATGCACTCCCTGAGGCATCGTTGCTCTGGAAACAAAAACGCAGACATCAGACGGAGTAATCAATGTTTTGCTCTTCACCTCTGAACTTGATATAATACCATCTAAGCTAACAGACACATCCCTTGGTTAACAGTTTATTACAGTGAGCACTGGGAGATTTGCCACGACTGATAATGACCAAAGACGGAGACGTTAGACATTACAGTAGGATGACTGTGCAGCTGTATGAATCAGCTACAGTGGCATATGTTTTGGTTGGCCTGTGCTGAAAGGTAAGGGTATGTTGATGTCTATCTCGGCCCCCATGCACTAAATAAAATACCAGTGCAATTTAGGCCTGCTGGTCAACTTATGGTGCATTTATTTGCATCCTAAATACTCACTGTCGAAAGCTAAAACATCTGGAGAGAACATCATGTTAAAAAATTTGCCTTAAACTGATTATAAACGTCCAGACAATGTGGCCGTTAAAAAAATAGAGGCCTGTGCCCTCAAAAGTGCGATATAAACAACAGCAGGGCTGACATGATTTTGCTTTAAGTCATCTCAATAAGTAAATGCATATCTGCCACTCTATTTAGCTGCTCAGCGCAGAGTAAATAATGTATAACGAATGCTTTGGTCTCTCCCTCTCTGTCTCTACCATCCTGCTGTCCAGACTCTCCTTCCATTTTCTTTATTCACTCCTTATCGTTTTCCCTCTCCTTCTGCATCCTTCTTTACGAGCCCCTTCTTCTGCTTCTTGCATTTTTATTTCATTCATTTTGATGATTGTTCATTCTTTCCTTCATTCCTACCTTCCCTCCTCCCTTCCTCTCACTGAGAAACCTTTCCATTGCTCTTCACTGGCACAGATCAGCCTCTACACTGATTCATCGTTTTACCTTTCCCCACTTCCAGACCCCCTTCACTTTGCGCTCTCTTTCTCATAGCCCCTGTCTATCGTCCCCGTCTCCGCCTTCCTCCATCTTTCCTTCTTCCTGCTGGTAAGCTGGCATTGCTGCTGTGTACCCAATGTACCGCAGACCCTTTTTTCTACCATTAAACTTTTATCGCTCCCCTCCCCAGCAGCTGCAAGAATAACTTGGGCTGAACAGGCCCTTTTAAATATAGAGCAGCGTCGGGAAGGAGGGACACAGGGAGAGAGTGAGAAGGAAAGGGAGGAAGGAAGGAAATGAAGAGAGAGGGATAAGAAAGATAGGAAAAAGATTGAATACATAAAGAAAAAGAGCAATGGGAAGAATAAGCCGAGCTGAGAGGGAGAGGTGATGAGAAAAGAGACGACTACAGCAACACTCAAAGACCCTCATCTACCTCTGGTCTCCTAGCAACCGTTGCCATTGACAGCGGGGGGAACTATTCAGTCTTGGGCATGAGTAATGACACTGTTCAAGACCTGGTACCTATTTTATGGGCAGACGCACAGTGTGCACAGCTGAAAATAATTGGACATTTTAACACGAGAAATTCTATATTTTATGAGAGAAAATAATCTCAGATGGTTTTGTTGTGCAGCCAAGACGTTAGATTGAAAATACTATTGTCACTACTGATAGATACGTTGGACAAACATAAGACTTAAGCTCAGCTGCAGTGACTAGGTATTTCATTTTTGCTTTTTCAGGTATTGTGTGGTAGTTTTATCCACACAAAATGGCCACCAAATACAATAATGAAAAAAAAATACTATATAATATCCCTAAGAACACGGTCAACATTGAAAACAAAAAGATACTGCATCATTTCTTCTCAGAATCTAATTAATAGGATAAGTAGTTTGTCTGCTGATGTAGCCCATCCATACAATGATCTGATGGGGTTTGCAATCTGCATTATCATCCTCTTTACTTGAATGGTCCTTTTCTATTCTCTCCTAAACCTACAGGCACAAAGACCTGCAACTGTCAACTGATTGATCGGTTACCCAGTAGAGCAGTTCAGTCCAGCCCTCCATGGTGATACACTGGAAGACGGTAAGAATAGCAAACAGGATGTTGTCAAACTGGGTGATGCCATAGTTTGGTCCCAGCCAGTACTTTCTACACGTGGTGCCCTCTGGACACATCCGTGACGGAAGCTCTGTCCCACATGGAAACTCTTCTCGGATTTCACCTGAACATGGATGAAAGTGGGGAAATGTTTCAAAACAGAAGGCAGGCATATGCAAATGTGATGTTTGTTTCGTGAGAATAGTGAATGGTACCCATTGGCTCAAAATATGATTTTGTGTCTTACTTTCTGGAGTTACATAAGGGAAGGAATAGGGTTCAAAAAACAAGGTATAGGAATTTAATTTATAATCTCAACTACAGGGGAAAAGGGGCACAGCTATTAGCAATTACATCCTACATTTTTGGAAACTGCCTTTCCCCATCACAAAAACAGGGAACTGAAGTACTACAAACAATCGAAAGCCAAAAATGATATTTTATTGAACTTAATTGCATTTCTAATTTCAGCACTGCCACCATCACCTCAACCGGAACAGGCGCAGTCTCTCTCAAAAATAGGTAGCAAATTAATCCTGACTGCACTATTGGCAACCACACACACACACACACACACACACAAACACTTCTTTACCTGTGTAATTGTCAAAGCAGGTTGTGTGGAATTTGCCCATGTAGAACTCCAGGCCAATGATGGCGAACATGAGGATGGCAAAGAAAAGAAGCAGGCCAATTTGCAGCAGAGGAATCATGGCCTTCATGATGGATTTGAGCACCACCTGTAAGCCTGGAGGACAAAGCGTATACACAGTATTAATATTTTCTAAATGATTGTTATCCATTATCAGTGCGTTTTCAACTATTAGAACCTGGACAAGGAGCTGCAAGACAAAAAGCTGCAACCTGCTCCCTCCTCACTCTAATTATTTAGCGAGTTACACTGGGACTCTCAGATTACACTATTAACCATTTTGCTGCGCCCACTGGAGTAGGCTTCCTGCTACCTGGTACACACTACAGCTTGTGATGAAGGGATTTAATCTATGATCACACAATATAGGTAGTAAAGGTAATAAAACACATTTAGTTGAGGTAAAATAAACCACCATAAACCAAGTTTCATACTCAAATATTTCTAACAAAAAAAGGTCTTGAAGGCAACATTTTGTTCTAATTTCATGTGAAATGTTTTGTAAAAAAACAGTCACACTTTTCAGATGTACATCACACTTTGGAATGGAAGCGTCACAGGAAGCGAGTGTGACTTTTATGATGAGTAAGCCTTGGTTTGCCTGTTCAGCCCTGTAGTGGCGTCCAAGCTATTAATAACACTGCAGTGGTGCTGGAACACTACTGCCACTATAACATTTAAAAAAGAAGCAGAGTGCATAGAGGAACCACTTTTGTCGGAACACTTTGGGTGCATTATACAGAACAACACAAAAGCTGCATAAAACCTTGACAAAAAATATTCTTCATGCTATTCTGATCCTCCAATAAAATCTAAAACTGCACTTAAAGAAATGTAATTTTCTCAACGAAGAAGCTGTTTGGAATAAAGGCAGGAGGCCAAAAACAGTTTAAAGCCTTTATTTTTCATTGTCATTGTTAGTTCAAATGAAGACTTTTGACTTACTGGGAATACCGGACACCAGTTTGAGGGGCCTCAATACTCGCACAGCCCTGAGGGTCCGCAAGTCGAAATCTGAACCCACAGTAGACAGGATCCTAAAGGGAAAGAGACAAATGCACAAAAGTGTGCACAGACAATCAATATTTAAGCTAATCAAGCTTGTCACTGTCAGTCAGCCTCTCTCCGTTTTCCTCTTTCTCCCTCATACACACACTTTAACTCAAACCCGTGGCAGGTCATTACAAGCAACTGGGTGAGCACTGTATGTAAATCCTGTAAGAGCTGAGCTGATCAATAGAGCTGACAAGTGAAGTAGGACAGAGAAGTGTCTTGAGAAAGGGATGGGCTGAAGGGAGGGCGTTTTGTATCGGGCTGACGGAGGGACTATAAAATGAAAAAAGGAGCGATGGAGTGATGGGGAGGAGAGGGGAGATGGGGGAGACAAAGAGGGAGGGCAGAAGAGAGAGAAGGTTAGAGGCATGGAGAGAGAAGGACCTCTGGCAGATGGGGAGAATCAGAGATGCTGACTTGCTTATTTCTGCCTATTTTTATTCTTAGTACGTTTAAAATGTTTCTCTTCGAGCCGTCGCCAGGCTGTGGAGTAAACATGTTGCGATGCGTGTTGCAGCACCTGTTTCGCCACTCATCATCTGAATAAAGGCTTGTAAACAGCGCGTGTGTGTGTGTGTGTGTGTGCGCGTGTATGTGTGTACTTCAGAGGGTTAAGATGTCCCCTTGTGCTGCCAGACTTCCAGTCAGTCCCTTCGTCTGACGCACACTGTGAATCATCCTTCCCACTTCTCTCTCTCTCTCTCTCTCTTTCAGTCTCTCTGACACATTTCCACTTTCCTCTGTTCCACTAAGAGGCTCGGTGACACAGCAGAGCCTTAATCACAGGTTTGAAGTCAGCCTGCTTTACTTGAAAACTAACAGAATTAGCAGGAAGGGAAAAGTAACACCGATCCAGGATCTATGGGCGAAGGTATACTCAGCTGTGGCTTTGAATGCTGTATTGCATTACCAGGAAGCCCCCCGGTGGTGGGTGCTCCATCACTAGTGGAGGCTGGGGTCCTTGTAATGACATTGTGTGATATCAAATGCCTCATCAGAGGCTGACTTGTAACTGAGAGGCTCCTGGTTGGGTCACGAGGCAACACTGTACTTCAGCTGTGTGTGTAGCTAAGTCATCAACATTTACAGCAGAAGTGCCCTTGAGCAATTCACTAAAATCCTATTTTCTGGCATGTACAAAGAAATACAAAACACTCTGACGTATAACTGTAAGTGATCTTCAAATTAGAGCTAGACTACAAATTGCCCAGGCTCTATTTTTTTAGGGTCAGTAGCTTAATGTTATTTATTTTGGAAAGTGTATGACACTGTATTCTAATACATTATAGTGCTACTCTTAATAACTTAAGAACATTGCTTCACATGGAGGCCTGAGTGCAGGCTCAGCTACACATCATCCCCAAAGCAGGTGAGGATTTAGTGTTTTGCTCAGGGATGCATTAGCCTAGAAGATACTTGGCATCACAGAACACTCCACTGATGCAATTGAGGATGGCAATAAAGGGAGAGAGGAAGGTGATGTAGGAAAGGAAGGCGAAATAAATACAGTATGTATTGCACAAGGGAAAGGAAAATGCAATGAATAGGCAGAACATCTAACAAAGACAGGAAAAGTCCAAATAAAAGTCAAAATTCAGACTGAGAGAACTGTGGAGAACTACAAATAAGGTGATGGTTAGCCAGCTATTTCATTTCCATGCTGAAAATGTGGAGAACATACAGTATTAAGCTCATAAGCAGCATAACTTTTATGATATAAATTGAGGTGTATGGGTGTGAATGCACGTGTGAAGGAACATTTTAATGCTGCTGACAGTTCCAGTTTTCTCAAAGGATGACCTGCATATCGAAACGGAAATACAGAGAAAGTATCTCACTGTGTGCAGACATAAACAAACACACATGCACACGTGTTTTTATATACACACACATATGACAAATGATTGTCTCTGTTGTGCATCTCTGCATTATTGGGGGTATAAACAGAACACATTATTTTATGCAATATATTGTGGTGATAGGACTTTGAATATAGTAGTAACACTGATAACAATGACGGGGATGATGATGGTAGTGTGATGACAGTGATAAATATTTCCATTTCTAAACAGCATCCGCCGTCACAAACAGTGTCAAGCCGATGAGGCAGTTCCTCATTCACACCGTCTCCACGGTTACTGGGCCCTTTCTCATTCATAAGTGTTTCCATGGCAACTGGGACCTTGGCTCATTGATAGAATCTCTGTATCACCTTGGTAACAGGGCCAAGGGAGGAGCCTGATTGATTGTTTTTTTCTTTCTTTCTCCTCTCTTCTCTCTTTAATGTAAATGTATCACAACTCTCACACACACACACATGCAAAAATATATGCATAGATGACAAAAGCACTCACACACAGACACACACACATCTGCACAGCAAACAGGAGCTGGTTGGAGATTAAACATATCTAGTGAGAATACATTTATTCGCGTATGCTACTGGAAAGTAGGTCATTTGGAATAACCAATGGAAAACATTATCAGGGACAGAGATGCTGTCTACAGTACATCTTATGAACTTAAAATAAATACACACACACACACACACAGGTGAACACAGACATACACCTGCACCGTGTGCAGAGGAACACGAACGATTATGGAGAATCACATTAAGCAATACTGCTATTACACAATCTCCCCACTGACCCCTTCTTATGGGACACCAACACATTATACAAACACAATCTTTTTTGCCCGCTCTCTCCGTCTGATTTCCTGCTGACTTCAGCTAAATGTGGGTAATTATCTCTGTCCACATCACTGACCAAATCGCTTCATATCGTCCCCAAACTCTCAACTTATCTCTCTTCGCCTCCTTGCTTTGCTCTATTACCATGATTCAACTACTTCATATTTCATGTATCGGCATTGTTACACTATCTCTCTACCCGACCTTTTCCAGCAAAGGTATTTATTAATTAGATTATTAATATCCCATTATGCCTTTGAATGGCATTCCATTTAACAACGTGTAACATAAAAATAGGCCAAGAAAATGTCACACACGTAGCTTCACATGAGAAGTCCATACAGCACATTTCTAAAAAAAATGACAGAACTAAAGGTTGTAGCTCTAGATTGTCCTATACAATATTTCATTATCTGAATGTGACAGCTGCTGGGAGTTGCAATAATTTCTCACAATAACCTCAAAACACATTTTAAACTGGGATACCATTTCAAGAAAGCGTGATTTTACAATTCTCCTAAAACGCCAAAGAAGGGTAAAGGAGAATATTTTAGTCATTATTTGTACTTTCATTATTTCACTGCAGATTTCGGTTACATTACAAGGTCACTGGAAGGCTTCCTTCCTTTATTCCTACACTTCCCAGTACCAGTCGTATCTAATCAAAAGTACCTCAACAAGGGTGCATGAAGGAGGAACGGAGTGGAGGATGGAAGCCAAGAATGGTTGTAAACTAAGGGTAATTGGACTAATAATCAATAGCGGGCATAAAAAACAACTAGCTTATTCCGAGGGCCAAATCACTCAGGCAATTTACTACAAGAGATAGGTCAACACACACACTTGGGCACAGAAACAAGGGTGCACACAAATCCGCTGACATCCAACAGGGCTGTAGAGTGAATAGCTAATTTATTCAGACATGTTAAGTGCCATTTGTGTGTTTGTCTTTGTATGTGTTGCGCAAGCAATTGCACTAGGACAGAGTAGGAAATGGAAAGGAATGTTTGAAGTGGAAATGTATGCGTGTGTGTGTGTGTGTGTGTGTGAACATTGGTCAGTGTGTTATCAAAGGTTTGGGCCAGAGGTGGGTAGAAAGGCCAAGTAGCCTTTCATCTTCAAAGAGCTGCACTGCTAAAAACACAACCCCCATTCATAGAGAGCACAACAAAGAATGTGTGTATAGTGTGTGTGTGTGTAGGTGTTTGTGTGCGTGTGTGTGAGTGTGAGGGAGAGAGAGAGAGTGTAAAATGCATTGACTTGAGTCAGTGTACATAATGTATCATGGGAATATACAGTCTGTGTGTTGTAAGTGCTGCAGCATATTCTCTGTCTGTACGTCTTGCGGCAGCTTCCTGCTTTAGTGCGAAAATGGTAAAAACACAGCTGACAGAGGGAAGAGGACTAGGGTGTGTTGTGTGACTATTGTTTACTTGAAAAAATAGTTTGATACTGCTTTATTTATGCTCCATGGTAACGGTAATTTCATAACAGTGTCACTTTCTCAATTCCTCTACTGCACCTTGATCTGCCTCATTCCTTCCATATCATGTGCCTTATGATATGTTTTCACCAGTTCAGACAGACAGACAGACACTTTTCATGGTTGCCCAGGAGTGATTTGTCACTTTTCTGGACTGTACATGCACAATAAATCAAGTTTTAGCCAAATTTCTTTCCTCAGACATTTTGAGAAACTATTTTTGGTGCCTCTGTCAACCACCTATTGACAGTGTCAACTTTATTTCAGTGGCAAAAATCAGAAATCAGTACTGGTGGAGCAGTGACCACCCTGAGGCCAGCAGACAGCTCAAGTATGAAGAATTTATGAGCAGACCTATTGATGCTATAGAGAGAAAGAGAGAGAGAGAAGACCGCACGATTAAAACCATGACTTCTGTTTATTGTGCGGAGGAATGTTAGATTGCCAACAAACATGATGGATGATCTCCACATTCTAGTCAGGGGAATATTGGTAATGCCTAAAGACCCTAAAGAGTCTCGACCTAGATAACGTGGTTTCAACGACTAAATCAGAAAGTTGTTTACAGCGTGGATGTATTAAGGGAGAATTGGATACAGCGTTGGAGGCTGGGCTCCGTTCAGTTCATAAGGAATTCTATTTCCTGGTATAAAATGACCAGCATCTTGCTTCCACATTGTGAGGTCCATAGAGCCAGAACATATCCTTGAATGGAGATAAATTGATCTAATCATGTGGCTCTTCCGATAATGAAATGAGTCATTTCGTGGGGGTTGTGATGCTCAAAACAATGTATCCACCATTTTACAGCCATTTCTTTCACAATGTAAGCTTATGGGGAAAAATTATTTTTGGGCCAGTGTGCATCATGTGACGGATGCCATTGCTGTAATTACACAGTTTGGCCACTATGTCGGATTGGTTTCATAGCCTGGCACGCTTCCTGGGGGCTTGGTTTACAGCTACAATATCAGAGATGGGTTGACCTTTACTCTCATCTGGACATTTACTGTGAGCACCTTTCCAGCCTTGCATGTTGGATCAACATCTCCACTACAGCACCAGCAATGCCTGTTCCTATAGGAGACACTGATGATTTAAATGCTGTGTCATGCTTGCTCGGCGGGTTTCACTGTCAAAACATTGATTTCCTAATACAAAACACAGAGGGAGGGGGATTATGTGCGACTGGGCATTTACTGCAAGTTTTTGAAAGGACTGCCTCGCTTCCTTCTGCTCTCCGCATCTCACTACTTCCTGCTGTCTCGCTGACACTCGTCTTCTCACTCCTCTTCTCTCTTACAGTCACTCTGTTGTGCCACGCTGAGATGAGCTTGGCTTCATGATTGCTCTTATTAAAGCATAAGGACATACTGCCAGACTGAGTGCTCACTCACTCAGTATCAGTGTGTGTCGTGTGTGTGTGTGAGAGAGAGAGAGAGAGAGAGAGAGGTGGGCAGTGGGGGGCAATCACTAGCTTCTCTGGTGCTTTGTCAGCAAAGACGCGCAAGGTTTATGTAACCCATGAAACTCTCCAAATCCCCACATGCACACACACAAACATGCATTGACCTCAGCATATTAATCTGTGCCAGCACTCCCACACAGTCATTTCATTGGACACAGTAAACTATAGTAACACAGTTTCAGTATATGAATTGTGTGAATGACACACGAAAAATAGTATCACTGCTGTCAAACTGCAATGACTTACTATGCTTCACTGTTTTAACAGACAGAATCAGTGTAATGTGAAATTTGCAAAGTTGCTAGAAATAGAACCAGGCTTTAACTGCACTGTTAAAACTGAAACTTAAGCTTTGATAACATTTTAAAACGTGCTGTGGCAGAAAAAGAAACATCAGCTTTGTGTGTCAGTTAACGGAGTGTTCTTGTAGACATTTAATACAGATTCTCCTCTTTTCAATAGCCCACCACTCACGCAATCACATTAATCTAAATCACATTCATTTTTAAACACACACTGCACCCAAACACCACCACGTGACAGCTGTAAATATATCAGCTCACTACCTGCAATTGTAAGAGTAAGCCATATGGATGGATGGATGGATGAAAAGATAGACATGGGAAAACAGAATCATTTGGCATAGATATATCAGTGCACCTTTCCCATATGCACACTTCCCTTCCTTTATTTGTATTAATCCAACAAATCTATTAGTTCCAGCCCTTATTCTATGATCTATAATCTAATCAGGTTTAGTAACTCTATTACCGGTATGCTAATCCTATCATGTGTCTTCCCTCTCACCTTTTCTGTCACAGTCCTCAGGCGGCATCCCCTTTCGCGATCCCTTTACCCTTGTTTTCACCTTCTCGTTGAGCGTTCAAATGATATATCATTGTAAACTTTGCTTATTGAGGTAATTGTTTAGCCCTTCCAAATGTTTTTAGCGTCCCACTTCTAAAGCTTTGCCCATTTTCATTGTTGGTCTTTATACATGGTCCATGCTGTTAAAGGCACCTGTGAATTTTCTTACATCCTTTCTTCATACCTTCTATCCAATGCCCCCCTTCCTTCTGTCTCTGTGTGTATTATGGTGACATTTGTTCGCTACCCAGGATGCTGACTGCCTGCAGTTCTTCTCTGTGATCTGACTGCTGCCTTGCCCAGAATGGGGCCATTCATTAGGGCAAAGGAGCAGGGATAGGACACTCACAAACACACACTAAACCACATGACAAACCACTTCATTTTGTCCAGCTTTAGTTGAATAAAGCCGCAGAGGGAAAACCACATCTGATTCTAAGCCTGTGAGTGCCTCTTTGAGTGCCCATGCAGGTACATACTGTGCATGTATGTGTATTTGTAATAGGTGCGTGCTCGACTCGTGTCTCTTTACTTGCCACTCACCCTGTGAGCACCACCACAAAGTCCATGACGTTCCATCCATTCCTCAGGTAGGAGTTCTTGTGGAAGGCGAAACCAAGTGCCAGGATCTTTATTCCAGACTCAAAACAGAAGATCCCTATGAAGTACGGCTCTGTATCATCCTGAGACAGAGAGCAAAGGACGTGAGAGGGAAAAGACGGAAGAAAGGAAGAAGAGAAAGGGTTAAGAGGGAGTTCGAGCACTTTCAGAAAAACATGTGTCACAAAGATTAGCATATTTCCTTGTGAATCGGAGTTAAATATTGTGTGTATAATGAATATTCCTATGATATCTGTAAGAATGTGTACTCTTCAGTGTGTCACAGTGCCCATAAAATTTGAATCATTTAGGCCGTTCCTTGCTTTAAGCCTCAGCCTCTTTTAGTGGAATAGCTGCGTGCGTCTCCACCGAAGTAAAATCAATAAGGTGTCAGAACTGTCGCCTGGATTTAATCATGTTTACATATGGCTCACATACAGTATCATGTCTGTTGAACTTACCAAGCGCTCAGACAGCGGCGTCTTGTCCCCATCAGGCAAATGTTGTTCCAGAGCCAGGACGATGCAGTTGGCAATGATAGTAGCTAGAATCATCCACTCAAATGGAGTGAGGAGGGTAAGTCAAGGAAGAAACACTTCTGGAGACACAAATCCAAACACTTTCTATCTAAAATTAAATATACAACATATAAAAAAATAAAACTTGACATAGTAAGTGCTCTTTTGTACATAAATCTTTTGTACAAGATGTGTCTCATCTTTATAACTTTTGAACAGGATGTACTATAATCAGATATTACGCTAATAAAAATCCCCTAATTAACAAATATCTGTAGGTCATTACATGTTTGTTTGCTACATTTGTATCATATACATATTACTACTGGCCTGTGGAAAGTTTCATTTGGCATGCACAAAAGTCATTATTGTCAACAATCTCACATACAATATATATATCAATACACTTCTATACTTAGGAAAAAACAAATTTGCAATATAGATTCATTACTATGTATATAGATTGGTATTTTCTGAGAGGTAAGTGATTGTTAACTGATTGAATCTTTAATCAGTAGGGATGCAAATCAAACCAGATTTGGCCGGATGGCCCAAACTTAAACTTAAAGTTGCACGCACAGCCAAAGTGCAGGTTTGAGCTTTTATTATTTCATGCACAATAAAAAAAAGTACTTGGGCTGCTTCAAATAGCAGTTTTGTCAACAATAGGAGGACTTTCAGGAGTTAAACGTAATTAATATGCAAGTGTAGCAGCAAAGCAGATGTATCTAATCAGAATATTTAAGCCATGGAGATCTATGCCTTTGTTACTGCGTGAGAATCTAGCTATATGCAATAATGACAACTTAATTCCAGCATATCGTGTGCCATGAAACCTAGAACCTAGTGCTATATGACAGACCAGGCTCAAAAACTGGTAAATTAAGTGACTACACTGTCTAACAATAAAGATAATATCACCACTCCCACATCAAAGGTCAAACGTAAGGTCAAATGTATTTGAATGCAGTGAATGTAAGCGAGTCAGACAGACAGCAGGCCTGTAGCGCAAATGGACCGATGTCTGGCTTCTCACTGCCATTGCCGCCTGTTTACACACACAAACACACACGCACACACAGTCCCACAAGCCATCATTATGAGTCAGTTAAATATGTTCTGCTAAGTGTATGTTCTGGTAACACACCACCCACACAGACAAACAAAACAAACACACACACACACATAAACAGACAGGCTATATTAAAGTGTTAGTGTGTGTGGTGGCGTGCCTGGACACTGAGTGAGATTTACTGTGACATCACCGTTTGGCTCTATGTACAGAACGTCTGAAGGCTAGTTCAATGGCGGAGAGAGAGAGAGAGTGAGAGAGAGTGACGAGAGAGAGAGAGAGAGAGAGAAAAGAGAGAGAAAGAGAGAGAGAGAGACAAATAAAATGAAAGAGGGAGTATCTCATTGTACATCTAATTGTGTTTGTCACAATCTCTTTCTCTCCGTCTCTCCCTCTGTAACACACACACAGACACACACACACTCTGGTGGTGTCTTCTTGAATCAATCCTCCTGTCTCGTTAAGGTCACAAGATGAATAGTTACATTTAAAAGAGAAGAGGGAGCGAGTGGAGAGAGAGAGGGAGAGAGTGACTGAGAGAAAGAATGTGAGTGCAAATGTGTGAAGGAGATAAATGAGAGGAAGGTAGAGGGAGGGATGGATAGAGGAGGGAAAGAAGGACAGCAGGACGATAATGAGGGGAGAAAAGAGGAGTGCGACTTAAATAATTAACATCGTGATTATGTGTACATATCATGAATAAAGCATACAAAGTAGCAATATTAAGTTTGACTGAACTTATTGCCCTATTGCTTTATTCCATCCTATCCTATCCTTTTCTATCTTATTCTATTCTATTCTTTCTCCTCTTCTTCACCTTTTTCCTAGTTGCTTGCTTCCTTTGGGAGCAGCCATTCCCATGGTAAATGGGAGGAGGGGAAAATTGAATGGCGAAGAGGCAGAAAGGAAGAACAGGCTATTTATGGAAACATACATCATACGTGTGCGTGTGTGAAACACGTCTGTTACATGTACATGCCAGCGTGTGTATTCGTGTGCATGTGTGTGTATGTTTGCTTTCTCCTGTCATGACCAAGGGGAAGGGAAAAGCTGCTCTAGCCCAGTCCCAGCCCACAATGTGAGTGTGTGTGTGTGCGTATGTTTGCGATCACGCGCATCTCTTTGACCGCTCTTACCGAGCACACATTACTACAACACCCAGGGCACCACTCAATTAGCCTCCCTGCCCCCCAGCAGTGTGTGCGTAGAAATGTGAGCGAGTGTACATGTGTACGTATGTGCGTGCGTGTGTGTGTGTTGGGCTGACTGAAAAAAGGGCAAGAGAGAGAGAGAGAGAGAGAGAGAGAGAAAGAGGAGCAAGGAGATGGGGAGAGAGGAGGAGAGCGACTGATATAGAAACACAGGGACAAAGGGACAAATGTGTGTGAATGTGTGTGTTGTCTTTGCGGAATGACTGTTTGATGTGTGTATATGATGATCATTTGGCACATCTTGTCCCTGTATTATATCTCAAGGTGCCACATGATTCGCTCCTTCTTTACACTGGCAATGTGTGTGTGTGTGTGTGTGTGTGTGTGCCTATCCATAAAGATGTCCCCTGCAGACACACACACACACACACATATACATACAGTATATACAAATTCAAAATATGAATAAATGACTCACACCCTGCCATAAATCTTTCAATAATGAATCTCTTCTTCCTCTTTCCTCAATGGCTATATATAGCAACATGACAGAGTTAAAAGCAAGGGAAGAATTCGGGGGTGAGGAAGAGACACAGAGAGAGAGAGAGATGAGAATATGTTGCTCTCTCACCATTCTCCCGTCCTTCATCTTTCTAATGTTTTCTTTGTCCTCAGTCTCTCGCTCTCTTTTGCCTCCCCTGTGTTTCCTCGCTCGACCCGTGGTTCTGCATATGCTTGCTTTTTATTATCTGTCTAGGTGTGTCTGTGTGTACGTGTATGTGTGTGTGTGTGTGTGTGTGTATATATATGCTGTAATGGGGACAGTAGTAGGTCGTAGACGGAGATGTCTCGCCAAGAAGAGGGAAGTGGGGCCCTCAAAGTACACCACTGGAGCCAAATGACGCACGCACAAACACACACACACACCACACACACCTCTACTGGCCTTTTCTTAACCTTGTCCATCACCACGCCGTACAGTCTTCATGTTTGCTCTCTTTCCTCCCTCCTCTCCTCCTCAGTAAAGCCCCTGCCTGTTTCTCACTGATATATTTTCAGCCTCCTCTCTGTCTCTTCCTCACACACCTCTCTGCTTCTATATCACCGTCTGTGCATTCAATTTTTCCCCCACTTGTTTCCCCGTCTCTCTCCCACCTTCTTGTATCTCTCCTCGGTCCACCTTTCTCTCGCCGAGTCCGCCCATCAATCATCCCTATCTCTACCGTGCCATCTCCATTCAATATCGAATGAGATGCCGCATCAGCAAATGCACGAGGACGCCGACAGCGAGAGACAACAGTATGAGAGGGGATGAAGGGAAAAAAAAAAAGGGAGAGAGCTTGGATAGGAGAGAGATATATGGAGGGCTAAATGAAAGAGAGAGGAGAGTAGGAAAGGGAGAAATAGAGAAAGAGCCTGTCCAGGGGGCACAGACGTGATTGAAAAGAGTGAGTGGTGAGGAATAAAAGAGAGAGAAGGGAAGAGGAGGGAGCAGAGGGAGGGAAACGGCAGCGGGGAAGAGAGAAGGGCAGAGGCGAAGAGCATAGGAGTGCTGAATGAGGGATAAAGCGAGAGAATGACAGAGGGGTGTGAGAGTATTGCGGTATTTTCTTCTCCTGAGCGATGTGTATGCTCTGTCGAAAGTAGGTTAGTGGCAGAGCACACACACACATATATATATATACACGGGGAGGGGCGATGAAAGCAAGAGAGTGGGTGGAAGAATATACATTATACTGTCACATACAGTATGTACGAGCGTGTTTTTACTTTTTACTTTTTTCAGGTTTTTTTTTCTCACACGTGTCTCACAAGCGCTTAAATCTTATGTACAGTGCCAGCATCGCATGAAAACACACACGCCTACATGTACCTACACGCAGACTACAGCTGTCACGATAGCAGATTCTCACTGTCATTATTATTACTATTAACTATACTTGTGTGTTTTATCTCTGTTTTTGCAAATGGTTACACTCGACTGTAACACTGGCGATCGGTATTAAGGTGCATAACCAGTCTGCGATGTCTGAGTGTGAACTTTAAAGTATGAACGGAAAGAATCGGAAATTATTTCAAAGGCACAGGATTATTTACATATTATATACCACGCGTACTATTAACACAATTCATATTTCATTTTTAAATATCCTGATTATCATCAATATCGGTATATAGAGACACTACTAATGCAGACACAAAATCGAACAAAGCTCCGGTCCTGCCTCTTATCCATGTGCCGTATTACCATTCAAGCTCACATGTTCATACACGTACGGCACACACATATAGACCGACACTAGACTTCACTTCACTACACTACACTTGTCTGCCAATAGAGTCCAGACCAGCTGCTACCCTTTGGGATGGTGCCAGCCTCCCTATTAATAAACCCAAGCATGATAACGTTGGCCTCTCTAACTGTGACACTCACTATCTGCTCAGTGTATTTCTAATAAAGCGTAGGTTTTATTTGTTTACTGTGGTACATTCACTTGAGATGTTTGCTGAGGAACACATTTTGTTATCATTATCTGTGTTTTATAAAGTCAGCTTCAGAGTGGCGAGAGTATGGCTTTGCAAATATGAAAGGTAATGGAAGCACAAGAACAAGGACAAAGTAATCATCTACTAGTATTTTCTATCTTTCTCTCGTCCTATATCGGTCTCTATTTGTGTGTGTTAGTCTGTGGTATGAAGGAAGTACAGTGCTTTGGGTATACTACATTAACAATTAGAGATGCACAATCTACTTTTTTTCAGTTTTGGTCGGATTCGGATACGTACGTTTTGATATCTGCTGATACAGATACCGATTCC